TCTTTCCCTCTGCATTAGCTAATAAATTCGATAAAAATATAAAAAGGAAGACAAAACGTTCACGAATCTTTAACAACAAATTTCCACTTTTCCTAACGTCCAAGTCTTCCCAAATTAATTTTAATATAATCTAAATAATCTTTTCAAATTCAAATCTTCGTTTCCTACTCTCGAAAATAAATCGACCAAAAATATCAAAGGAAATTACCACCTTCGAAATGAATCGAATCGAAAACAAATTTTCACCGTAGGTGAGTATCCAAGACTGTCAAATCTTTTCTGAAAAATCAAAAATCGGGGAAGCAGAGTTCAAAGCGACAAGGAATATTGCCTTCTGCAATATCCGAAATATCCCAGGTCTTTTTGTCGATTTTGTCGATGTGACAGTGGCAAGCAGCCTAAAAGAAGAAAGAAACCGTGTGTGTGACAGGGTATGGAGGTAGAAGAGTATAACGGCGAGGCTAGCGACGAGAAGCAGGCGGATCTGCGCGCGTCCAGGCAGGGTCTGCCGCCGACGCCGCCGAGCAGCGCGAGCTCCGACAGCGAGGGCACTGCTTCCGCTTCCTGTTCGCCGGAACGCAGAGATTCCCAGAGCTCCGCGCACTCACAGAATCTCAGGGGCCTGCTCACGCCCAGACTTTACATCACCAATGGCACCCACACCACCAGACAGCCCATCCACACACCCCTGATTTCCTGTCAACCGGTGAGTCGAACCACCAATCTTCTTTCGTTTGTTCTTAACATAGCAAAGAGTGTCTATGAAGACCTCGCTTCTTCAGAATTTTATGCGAATTTATGTCGTAAGCTAGGAACGTGGTTCTTTGTTTAAAAATATTCTAGTTTTATTACGTTTTTAACTAACTTTCTGAGAGAATATTTAAAATATTAATAATATTTTATTAAAAATCAAATAAAACTAAAATGTTTCTTAACAAAGAACCACCTTCTTAACTTATGATATAGATTTGCATAAAATTCTGATATTGTTCTAATATGTTAAATATTTTTATTAATATCGTATTATTTATACACTTTCTTTTCTGAGCATATTTGATTAAAAATCAAATAAAATTCAAATATTTTGTAACAAGGAATCACGTTCTTAACTTATGATATAGATTTGCATAAAATTCTGATATTGTTCTAATATGTTAAATATTTTTATTAATATCGTATTATTTGTACACTTTCTTTTCTGAGAATATTTAATTAAAAATCAAATAAAATTCAAATATTTTTGAACAAAGAACCACGTTCTTAATTTATGTCATAAATTTTCATAAAATTCTGAAATTGTTCTAATATATTAAATATTGTTGTTAGTATTTTATTATTTATATACTTATTTTTTTGTGACATAAGGAATACATTGTATATATACATAGTTGTACTGGTGTATTTTTATTTAGTTTTTTGAAAGAAAATTTTATTGGAAATTATTAATATTTGAATTTCTGGTGACTATATATATATATATAGTTGTAGTTATGTATTTTTATTTAGTTTTCTGAGAGAATATTTTGTTAAAAAATTGTATATATATATATATATGTTTTCTTTTTTACTTGGTGATTTAAGGAGTACAATGTGTATATACATAATTGTACCCATGTATTTCTAAATATTTATACGAAGAAAATTATTTTTGAATATAAAATTTAAGAATAATCGTAGGAAAAATGAAAATAGTTTGTGACCTCGTGTGGAACTGAATTTGCAGAAAGGGTCGACGGGAGTGCTAACGTTGACGGAAGAGGAAAAGCGGACATTGATCGCGGAGGGATATCCTGTGCCCACGAAGCTGCCTCTAACGAAGCAAGAAGAGAAGTCCCTGAAGAAGGTCCGCAGGAAAATCAAAAACAAGGTTAGTTTCCAATAAAATCTACAAAAATTCTCATTTAAACAATCAATCCCGAATTTTTAACATATCCTCCTGAAAAATGACATGTCTTTCCAATGTACTCGTTTTATTATAGATAATATTATTACTTAGACAATTCGTCTCAGATAATATCATTTTAATTTTTCTTTTTAGTTAAATTTTTATTTATTTCACTACTTTTATCGTACTATATTATTCCATACCACGTTCCATTTGCCATTCCAAGTTCTCCAGTTTCAATTCTCCATAACTGAATCAACGCACTCTTTATATATTCCAAGAAATAGAAATTGTATATTAAGATTAATTAACGATAAATCACAGTTCCAAAATCCTATAAATCCCATAGTATACTAATTTCGAATTCGATGACAGTGATTACACAACGATAAAAACAAGGTGAGTTTCCAATAATTAAAACCAATAAAATTTACAAAAATTCTCATTTAAATGATCAATCCTGAATTTTTAACATACCCTCTATTATCATTCGCAAAATATGGCTGCATCTCCTGAAAAATGACATATCTTTTCAATGTATTAATTTTAGATAATATTATTACTTAGTCAACTCGTTTTAGATCATTTCTTTTCACTAAATTCTTATTTATTTCACCACTTTTATTACACTATATTATTCGATACCACGTATCGTCTACCATTCCGAATTCTCCAGTTTCAATTTATAATTGAATCAACGCACCCTTTATATATCCCAACACATAAGAATGTACTCGTTTTAGATAATATTATTACTCTGACAATTCGTTTTAGATAACATTTTTATTTAGACAATATCATTTCAATTTCTTTTCACTAAATATTTATTTATTTCACTACCTATATCACACTATATTATTCAATACCGTTTAAAAATTCGTTCCATCTACCATTTCGAGTTCTCCACTTCCAATTCTCCATACTCGTATCAACGCACCCTTTATATACCCCAAACTCTACAAACCCCAAGAAACTATACATCAAGATTAATCAATTAATAAATCACAGTACCAAAACCCTACACGTCCCATAATACACCAGTTTCAAACCCGATGACAGCGATTAGACATCAGCAAACAACTCAGCTCCTACGCAAACGACTCAGCAACCAACACCCAGAAACTCCGAAATTCCAAAGCTACTTCCCCTAACCAAAGAATCTCCAAGTACCAGGATACCAATCGCACGAGTACCAAAAACCCACCACGTCGCTTCACCAATCCACTGTGAACCTGCACACGAAGAACGAACCTCGACGCATGACCGGTTGCCTCTCTTACAGATATCGGCTCAGGAGTCTCGACGGAAGAAGAAGGAGTACATGGACGGTCTGGAGAGACGCGTGACCATGCTGACCAACGAGAACTCCTCGTACAGGGACAGGCTGACCGCCCTGCAGGACACGAATCGCGAGCTATTAAAGGAACTGCAACGTCTCCAGGCGCTCCTTCAGCTGCAGAACTCGTAGATACCAAAGGCGTTCAACGTTCTCCAGCTGACACCGAAGACTTCCGATCCCTGCGAAGAGGAAGGATCCAGCCATCGCTGACCAGTGATCCATAGTCGTTCCTGGTCGGAAATAACCACCCCTTTGGCCCCTCGAACGAGATCCTCGAGTCATCATCGGGTCTCCGGTGAACGTTCCATCGAGTTCCTCCAGGGTGAACGATCGAATGTCGTCGCGATGGACGAGACTATTTGTCCCAAGGGAACAGTGCAATTCCTTTACATTCCTGTAAAGTCTTCCTCGTGTACCGGGCCGAGCAAGTATCGTAGATTCCACGACGGAAACGAGTTTCCTACGAGTCCTTGGGTCGCCTTGTCTTCCTGATTGGACAGGGGTGTGCAATGGAGGGTGCAATTTAGCCGGGAGTGCCTTCATTCGCTAATTTCCACGCTTCTTCCTTGGCAATCTTCTTCGTCCAATCCGTGTTATCGCGGATTTCATTTCGTTTTTCTTTTTTCCTATTTTTCCTTTCCTACTTTTCTCCTCATTCTTCGTTTAACGCGTTAAACGCCGCTCTGGGCCCTAGGGATTTCCGTTCAGGCCTTGTTGGGCCGCAGAGCCCCGAAGGGCCCGCATGATGGCTAACTATGAAATTGTAGTTAGTAAAACCAGCATGGCGTTTAAGGTGTTAACCTTCGTTGCGTTTTTACCCATATGCACCGTATTATAATTCCGCTGGGATATAACAAATTGTAATATATCGTGCGAAAATGTGAAATTGTGAAATGCGTTCCACGTCGGATTCAACTCGGATCAGAGAGGTCGCTGCGCTCGTCTCGCGCAAGATCGGGACTAGTGGTGCCCTCTGGTGTGCCCGCTTCGCCTCGATTCTCGACGTCAGCGTGCGAACCACCACTTGGCTATTTATTTCGATGTTTCCGGTTGCTCGGATATTTTAGTTTACTTAATATAGTAAGGCTGTCCTCGGGACAGTGATTCGGGGTCCGATGTTACTGCGAACCGATCTGGGATCGAAGGTTGCTTCGTCTCGCCACGATCGCTTACCACGATGTTCGATAGCGAGTATTCACCCTTTGGGGTTCCTCGGCTCCTTTTTGAAGCATTTAATAGGAAGACGAGAGATTTCGTACCTGGGTATAAGATTGCAAAGTGCCAGGGATTTTGCGAAATATTGTAAAGTGCAGAGTAAATATCGCGAAGCGACTGTGCGCCTCCTCAAAGGGTTAATTCCGCGGGAAAATTCGAACGAACGACGAGGATTGAGTGGTCCAGCGATAATTAAGCGTCGACTAATTAAAGTATTTAAGAGCGTAAGTGGATTTTCAGTCGCGGCGTAACCGTGTCGATATTTATAGTTCGATGATAGCGAACGATAACTCTTCGATTTTCGTCCAAATGATTATATAAAATTAGAAATGAACAGGTGGATAAGTTAAGGTAGTAACACGACGTACAATTGAATCGATGAATGTTCAACGCGTTAGGTATAGAAATTCTAGATAACGAATAAGCATTAAAGAGAGGTGAGATATTTTATCTAGAGCGAATTCGATGATCGTGTGCGCCTATTTTCTCGAGAAATGAATTGTTAGATTGATATATATATTATTATTATATATTTAGAAACTTATTTATAGGATTCATTCACGTGAGATGCAGATTTGTATATTGTATTTGTGAAACAAAATGTTATTTACACGGCCATCCGAACGTTCGGTGGCTCGTTCCATTTGTGGGCTTGAGGAGAACGTGTGCAATGACGATGACTTCGATCCTTTCTTCGAAGGACGCGCCACTGTAGGGCTAATATTTCCTAGTTTTATTATACTGATACCACATGCGGTGTGATTCGAGTATGGTTAAAGGAGAAAGAAATTTTACAGGGTGAAAGACGAAATTGAATATATATATATCAAATTTTTCTCTTCCTCGAAAAACTATTTTTCGAGAAATATTCTTCGTGGTATCCATTGTTAAGAAATTTGAGAAAATATTCTTGTAGACGAAGACTCTTTCTGAGGAAAAGATTGAAGACTCGTTCTAAGAAAAATGAAAATTATCTTCCCAAAGTAATTTTTGGCAGGAACAATTTTTTCCCAAATATAAAAAAATGCTTCGTAGCAAAATATTATTTGCTTGAAAAATTGGTAATGCGAGATACCGTAATGATTAATGCAAAATTAAATTCCTCGGGATTTCTCGAAGGAAAATTTCATTTTCCGATCACTTCTGCCAAGGGATCCTAATTTTGGGGATTTTCTGGTGAATCACGCCGCACTTAATGTATTCCATGCTCGCAGTGATCACATTCACGGTCGATTTCGACATCCACGAAACTTCTTCAGGGACGTGACTACTCCCTCACGCTCCCGCGTCAAATAGGTACAAATATCATCGGTAACGTTCACGATCGTGCGAATTAGGGTTAAACGAAGCATCGACGGATGGCCTCGAACGCTGCCATTGGTTCACTATCCTACGTCCACGCTATGATTCTTATCGACGAATTTTTATCGCTAATTATAACGGTGTGAGAAATTTCCAAATGTCGTTTCGAGAAATATTCGAACGAGAATTTTGTGAACGCGTTGAACGCCATGCGAGTAATTATATTTCACAAGAGGACGTTATAATAATACAATATAGTAAAATAGGAAGAAAAATGGAGACTCCCGGAGTGCGTTTTCTTAGAGAAAACGTTTATATTGGAAGGGAAGGACCGCTTGAAAAATTCTGAGAAATGATAGACCTGTTTCTGTCTGTTTTAGTTAGCTATTTAAAGCTCGAAGTCGGACGAAGCTTTCGCGTCTGGAGCTTCTATTTTTATTCAGAATTCGGTGGATCGTTTAAACCATAACAAATATGTTACATAGTACAGGCTACGGGCAAAATCTGGCAGCCATTTTTCTTGCATTTTAATTTTGCACAGGTATATATAATTGTTATAAAATGGACGATTGGATAGGCAGTTGAACGATCATTGCGTCAGTCGTAATTCGATGACGACATTTATTCTCATGAAGGAAATTATAAAATCAATTTACTTTATGTATATTTCCAATAATCATTCTTCGTTATAATAATCGATATTCTGCAATTTTTATTTGAGACTAGGACACGTGCATTTGTAATTTTTATGAGAAAGATTATTTAGTATGAGTCAGAGGAGAAATAACATTTAAAAAATTGTCTTTATAATAGTAATTACTTTATTTGATTTTAAGACACGAATATTTGTCTATAGAAAAATTAGACATATTATTTTAAAAAATTTCGTGCCTTTTCTTCACATTAAATATACATATTTACTGTCATAAACTTTTCCCTTATGTCAAAAGAAAGATAATAATATTTTACATTTTCTCTCTTCCTGCATAAAAAATTAAATACGTAAAAAAGAAAATATATATATTAAAAATATATTTGCTATCACGAGTTTCTCATTTATGTGTGAGAAAAAGAAACGTTTCATTCTCAAATCCATTTTCAAAGGAAAATGATCTAGAATTGTAGAAAAATCGGTTTCCTTAATTTTCATATTAAAAAATGAAGGAATTTCTAAATGGAAAAATTTGTTATAAAATTGTGAATTCGATTAAGCTCGCATGGCAATAAACGCGTTGATAAATATTCGCGATGCTTCACGTTTTATAGAGTAATTACAGGGACCAGAACGAATTTCATGGCGTGTCCCCCACTCCTTCGTCGATCACGTTCTCGATCACGATCGAGGCTCCTCGCGCGGCTCCCGATCTCGTCGTTCGCGGTCACGCGTCGCGGAAAATTTCCCTCTTGGCTTAGATCCAGGCCTCGATCCAATTGGATTTCGCGTGAACTTCAATTAAGTTATATAGCCGGCGTAAACGAAACGGGGAACTTTGACCACGATCCACTTGGATCTCGGTGGACTTGCAGCAGTAGGCATTAGACATGGTTTGAATAACCGATTCCTCTGAAATTCCACAAAAATTACTCAACGATCGTCATATACCGATTATTTCCAATTACACGTCTTTAGAATATTTCCAAAAATAATTCGCACCCGATTTCTTCGTTCGAAAAAATTCCAATAATTTTTTTAAATTCGTATGATATATATATAAATGGATTATATATGGATGATGTAATCAAATGTCAAATTTTTGGATAATTAATTTCGAATAATTGTGTATTTGGATATTAAAGATGGAAGTATTTCGCGTTTGAAATGTTATCACAAAATTAATAGTGATATTTTGATAGAATGATGAGAAAGGGGAGAGGAAATAATGGGATAAAAATGAATTTTGTTTGGTACTATGCGAGAGGATTCGTTGAGGAGATATAGAGTTTGGACGGAATTCAGAGAAGAGAATGAATATACCAAACCGTGTCACGTGTGTTTATAGTAGACCGAGGAGAAAAAGGAGAGTGTGTAATACGTACACGTGTACGTAGGATACTCGTGATAAAAACGGGCGAGACGCGTAGAAAAACGGTGACTCGATGTCTATCAATTACTTAAGGTTCCCTGAATAGGTCCACGAGCATTCTTATTGGCTTACAGATCGATATGCGTAGACTGTTCTTAAAACGGATTTCATTTTTCGCGCTCCGACTCGTGACCTGCACTGTCGGTAGGGAGAGAGCGTGGTGTTACCGACGCACAAACTCCGCGGCTAAAGTAGAGACGTAGTAAACGGTCATCGAACACGTAAGAGTTAAGAGTAACGCATACGGTGGTGGATGCTGAGCTATTTTTGTGAATAGAAAAAATTTATTAATGAAAAATTGTGACATTTCTGAGATATTTGAATGTTCTCAAATCCCAGAATTTTTGAATTCATCAATTTTCGTATTATTAAAATTTCGAGGTTCCGAATTTTTAAGATTACGGGTTCTGGAATTATCGAAATTTCGATTGTTCAATTGACAAATTTTCCAATTTTCTTTCGAATTTTCAAATCTCTGAATTTTTTAATTTGCGAGTAATCAGATTTTCGAATATTCAAAATTTCGAAACGACTGGGCTTTCAGTTTTCCAAAATTTGTCGAATTATCTGAACTCTGCTATGAATTTTCCAATCTTTCAAATTTCCAATTTTTCCGAATTTTTAGAATTTTGAAAATATAAAGTCGCTGAGATATTTCCGATATATGTTAGTCGGTAATGTCGCAGCATTGATAAACAAGCCACCATTGCATTTAATCTCATTTACGAAAGTCATTTGCACACAGTCCGCGTTATCCAATGCTTTAAAGAAACCGTATTTCTCGGTACATACCCACGCGAACTCGCGCGAGGAAGCCTCTGGTCGTTAGATAGTAATCGTTGCCTGGGGATCGTAACTTCGTGTACAAAATGCCAATTGATCGCACTTTTACCGAGAGAAAATGAGAGCGAGAGAAACAGAGAGAGAAAGAGAAAATTTAATATATTCTATAAACGAAGCTTTATATAAATGGTATATAAAAATATATATACATAAGATATTTCTATATAAACAGATAATATATATATATATATACATATACAACTAAAGAAAACGTACACACCATCGCGAACCTACACACAATCAAGCGAAGGAAGAATAATTGTCATACACAAACACACATACGCAAACACGTACATTACCCTCGATTACCTGGCCTCATTATCGCGAAGCTCGATCGTCGTTCGTAAAATTCATTCGTTCGTGTGTGCATTATATTATTTATCCGCAGAGTCTAGCTGTGTATCGGTATACGTGTTCTCGTATTAGCTATGCGACAACTTATCCTATTATCCCGACGAGTAAGTGTCTTTACTTCGATGACGGTGCGCTGCGGTGACACGTGGACGATGACACACGTGGTCACTCCATTTCGAACGTTGTATGACAAGGAATAAACACATGTGACTTAACGTTTTTCGCACGAGTTTTATTTCCACTGATTCTGTCACGTATAAACGCGGCTCTATATGTTTATATGTTACTGGGCATTTCATTATTCGTTGCTATATAAATATATATATATATATTTAACGATAAGCGTAAATTATATTTTTATTAACATATTATAAATATAATATAATATATTTACGAGTTGTATTTATGTTAAATTATATTCGCATTATTTAATAACGAGCACGACGATTTATTTTCGAAGTTACAGAATGCTACAAACGTTCATTCCTTGGATTAGAGGACCAATTCGATTATACTCCGTTGCTAATTCCTTATTAACCTGTTGACTGAGCGAGCCGAGGTAAACGCCTCGAGACCTGTCGATATCCTAAAATTGAGTCTATGTACCGGTATATGTACATATGTATAAATTGATGTGTATTTTCTAAATTATTTCACGTGCAATCTAATTATGTATCCAAGATTTAGCTCGAAATTAATTTAATTCTTTGATAACTGTGTATAGCATAACGGTTACAAGTGTGTACGTACCTTTAGAGAAGCGTGACGTCTAATATAGATCGCCTTTAAAATCCACTCGCCTCTCAAGGCCACTACTCCCACTCCAGTACCGTTTCCCTCACTCCGAGACCGCTTCTCCCACTCCAACGCCGCTTCTCCCACTCCAGAACCACTCTCCCACTCCAACGCCGCTTCTCCCACTCCAAGACCACTTTCACTAGTCCAAATAACATTGTATCAAAGCGACTCTGTTCTTTAACCCTTTGCAGTCGTAAGGCGCACTTCAGTCACCGTTAAATAATCGGAGATCGATATTAATTAATATGTCAAATTTAAGATTATATAATTGTATGTGAGGTATCGAAATCAAATAATTCTACGTGTAATTTACTATACGATTTCTTACTTACTGCTCAAAGGAATATCCTCAGCTTTATAGCAGAAAATCTTTGAACTCCTATTCTTTTTTAATCAAAAAATCGTCGAGTGCAAAGGGTTAAAATTACGTACAGAACAAATATACGTTCCTTTCACTCCTGTTCTTTATTTTCTCGTTACTGTTCGTTTATATTGACATTTATAATTTCTACTGCCACTGTTCTTTATTTTTCTTCACCATTATTCTTATATACATTTCAGTATTTGTAACAAGCAATAGGGTAATGTGAACGTATATGGAGGAACGTGACATTGAACAGCTAATTGATTTTGGTCACACAGTGGTAGATATCGTGTGACGTCTCTGTTCGTATTTGCTATCTTATCGGTTTTACTCTTCTGTTAGGTTTCAGAGGGATCATCGAGCTTTTCGATTAGAGTATCGGGAGATTTGGAATGATTGAATTAGGATTAGTTATTAAACGTATTCTGTTTTACAACTATACGATTTTTAGCAGTAGAAAATGAGGTGTTTTAATCGATGTGCTAATTCAATTACACTCTCGACCATCGTTCATTCTTGCCAGTTATCTGTCCCTGTATCAAATTTCAATAGCTCGACCCCATAGGCCTTTACAATTGAATCGACTTCTATTCACGTTTTAATTAACGTCCAGTTAAAGAGTGTCATTTGTAATATTGTCTTGACATCCTTGTCATTCGACTTTTTAATTGTAAACGAAATTCTTTTGTGGTCCAATTTTTAATTCTGAAATCTTCGTTTTATTATATTTTTATTTTGTTATATTTTATTTTATCTTAATCCTTCAATTTATTCATGCTCAATTTTAATTCTCAGATTAACTTCTACTCGTTAAAGTCTATACAATTTTATTGACAATTTGAATTTCAAAAATTCATAAATCACACTGAAAAATTAAAAACAAAATTTGAGACGATTTAAATTATCTCGATTTAAAGATTATTGAAATAATCTTAATTCTTTCATTTTTTCGTTCTCAATTTTAATTTTTAAATATTCTTCTAAATGTTAAAGTCTATATAATTTTATTGTCACTTTGAGATTAAAAAATTCATAAATTACACTGAGAAAAGTAAAAACAAAATTCGATGAGGTTTTAAATTTTCTCGATTTAAAATTCATTCAATCTTTCTTTACTTTCCAAGAAAAAAAGAAAAAAAGAAGGAAATGACTTCTGATTGATTAATTTTCGTTTCGTTTTATTCGTCCATGTTTATTTCAACTTCTTCCAGTTGCTCCTCCATTTTGTCCTTAAGGGTCGTCAATTGCATGAGAGCTTCCATGCCTAAAACCTCCTCGTCTTCCTTACGCCCTCTTCTCTTCGATCTATACAAAGGGTTCTCGAATCTGCCGCCGGAAGTAGGGTCCTGGCCCTCCTCCTCCTGCACCTCCTTCGGCTCGCTCGTGACGTCGACGTTGGAGATTTGGACATTACCCTCCGATATATTTTCGAAACGTGCGAAACTGAAAGGTTTGCCACCCTCTGCTTTGTCCGCTCGTACTCCGTCCCTGATGGACGAGAAGAACTCCGTGCAGCTTACGAGTATACTGAAAAATTGAATAATTTTGTATTTAACATCCGAATCCTAATGATGCAAATAAAATTAATTTTTTAACATTCCGCGAATTTTTTCTAAAAAGGTTCAGCAATTTTCGTTATAAAATATCGTGCAATGTATAATTATACGTTACATATTTCACATACTATAGTATTATAGTACTATTGTAGAACAGGTTATTACAAAATTGGAATATAACGCAACAAAGTGCTATATCACATTTTGCAAAATATCAAGAATAATTTAGATCGTGAATTTTTCATTTGTTTCATTTATCTTTTTTTTAATAATAAATATTCGAAATTCTCATGGCTACGAGTTTCGTCATAATTTCACCGTGAAATCCCAAAAGCCATGGCGTCAGTTACCCCTCTGAAAACAATGAGCTGTTCGACTCGATTGGACAGGTCGGGTTAATTAAATGGCACGAGGTTCTTAGTTCGCTGGGAAATCGTGCCAACAAAGAAATTGCCAAGTGTAGAACGGTAAATGTTAAATGGGGTCGAGTTGTTGGTTACTAGGCCATTGCCATCGATGTTTCTCGAACTGAAATCAGTTTCATCCCCATTCCTCCTCGACCTTTACCATTTTCTCACCATAAACCTCCCCCTATTTCTCCACCCTATTTCTTCCTCTCCTCCGTCGAATATTTTATTCGTTGCGAAATATTTACAACAAATGAAATATATTAATAAAATATTCTACATTTTATAACGAAATATTATAGCATATAATATAATATACATACTATGATACATAATAATAATTGAACATTGGGCTATGACCTGTCTTATTAAATAAATAAATAATAAATAATAACGATAAATATATACTATATACTATATAACTATATATACTATAAACTCTACTATATACTATATACTATACTTATATGCTATAATCTTTCCTATATTTGGTAATTCATTTTATAAATTTTTGAATCAAGTCCATTTTTGTTATGCATCCCTATTATTCAGGTTTCCAACGATGTGGTAGTATAGGGAATATTTGAAGTTGCACGTGCTTGCATATGCAGTTCGTTTTACTGGATTCTAATAGGGGTATGGGTGGTGAAATTCGAGGCAGCCTCGGCTGCTCTCCTGGTAGCTGCGTTACACGAAATCACGGAGGTGCGCTGGAATATCTGCCACTCGATGAAAATTCGTGATGAATCTTCGCGTTTTGGTTAATTTCGCGAAATTGAAATGGAAAAATAATATTAATCTGAATTATTTTCTTGTTCGATTAATTCTATTTATTCCTAAGATCAGGTTCGAAATAAAATAAAAATTAGATTAGAACTGGTTTGGCATTTGGAAATTTTTATAGAAATATGTTCTATGACAGCCATAATCGATGCCATAAAAAGTGTTAGAAATCCATGAACTCATGGTTGTGTTAACGTGAAACAGAAATCCAAATACTCGAAAACTCACAATTACACTCGATGAAACAGAAATTGAAAAATTTAAGAATTCACAATCATACTTTATAAAATAGAAACTAAAAAATTGAATAATTTACAATTATACTGAATAAAACAGAGATTTAAAAGTACGAACTCTCGCAATTATATTTGGAAAAATAGAAATTAAAATATTCGATAATTCCCATTTAAAAAATGGCGAATAAAAATGGGAATTAAAAATTCATAAAAAGAATTTAAAAAATTCACAAAATTAATTTAAAAAATTCTTAAGTGGCCATATTTGATCGTGAGAAAAGATTCGAATATTGAAATATTCACTGTCACATTCGATGAAACAGAGACTTAAAAATTCAAGAAAATATTACCGATTTTACTGATATAGTGATACGATCTATTACAATAGTAATGAGAACTATTAAAATAGTAATGAAAAATAGGTTCTGATCCCTTCATTTATACCAAAAAAATTAGCTCACCACGATATTAATCAAAAATGTCAATACAATTGAAAATTTTAATCAAAAACCTATAGGAATTGAAATGGCTATAGCAATCCAATAGATTCTAATCCCTTCATTTATGCCAAAAAATTAGCTCACCACGATATTAATCGAAAATGTTAATACAATTGAAAGTAGTAATTCGAAGACTATCAGCCATAAGGTCGACGATATTTTGAAAAGGGTAAATACGAAATCGTGTAAAAATTAAATTATTTTACTTCGACATTCCACGCATCGTGGGGTAATTTTAAATTTGGTATATTAATTAACATGGATGTTTAGAATCTGATTAAATGGCGACTGAGAGTCGTCTCTCGAGCGCAAAGGGTTAAAAATCTATTCCGAAGCGTTTCCAGGTGATATATTTGGTTCCTATTCGTCGAGAGACGTGCCGAAGGGAAGTTAATTTCGCAGGCATCCGGAATGCAGGAGTTGCGAGTGTAGAGATGGCGCGGCAGTCGCCGAGTGCGCCCCCTGTTTCATATTCCGCGTAATTACTTTCTCCGCCGTATTATTCTTCTTGCTCTTTTACTTTCTTCTCTACTTCCTTTTTTCGTTGTCCCTCTGCTGCTCCACGCTTCTCGTCATCGACACCCACGCGTCGGCGGGATATAAGGGTGAACCGGGACGAGCTTACGGAAAGCTTCAGCGCCGCTTTTCCAACGAGTTGCTCGTAATCGCTGAGCTCCTCGTTTCCGTTTGTCGTTCGCGAAAACATGCACCGTGCAAGCTATTTTTGTCCAACTACCAACTCCGCTTTTCGCTTCTCCCTTCTTCAAGCGCATCTCTGATTGCATTCGCTGATTCGTTTTTTATTCTTTTTTCCAGTTTTCTTTGTTTAGTCTTTTTGATAATTGGAAGGTTGATAAAGAGGGGGAGTATTTTTATTTCGAGCATTTTGGTGGATATAGAATTATTTGGAAATTTGGGCATTTGCAAATTTAGAAACTATAGAGTTCTCCATTTTTCGAATTCGGGAATTTGATAATTAGAGTATTCGAAAGTTCGATAATTCGAAAATTCGAAAGTTTAAAAATTCGGAAATTGAAAAATTTGATAATTTGAAAATTCGAAAGTTTAAAAATTAGGAAATTAAAGAATTTGATAATTCGAAAATTCGAAAGTTTAAAAATTAGGAAATTAAAAAATTTGATAATTCGAAAATTCGAAAGTTAAAAAATTCGGAATTTAAGAAATTTGATAATTCGAAAATTCGGAGATGCGAAAGCCTATTATTCAGGAAATTTGGAAACTAAAAAACTTCTAAAAATTGAAAATTCGATAGTTTCGAAGTTCGATTGTTTAAAAATTCGATATTTTGAAGGTTTGAAAATTCGGTACATCGACGATTCGAAAAATTACTAATCGAAATAAAAGAAAATAGAAACCTTTCTTAAAATTCGATCGTTCAGTCTCGTAAATCTATTTTATAACGACTAATGAAAGAATTCCGCAGCATTGCTGACCATGGGATTAAATATAGAAGAAAGTGCAGAGCTTATGTTTTCACCTTGTTTCTATCTTTCTCCCATTACTCCATTTATATTTTCACCGTACATCGTACTTTTCTCGAGGCATTTTTATCCGAAGTTAATCCTACAAGAGACTTTACGATCCTCAGATTGCAAGAGAAGTATGGAACTGCACGTTTCGTGAGATTATAGAATCCCATAACACGGACCAAAGTTCAAAGGAAGGATAACGTAGGATCTGCCTACGATACTCGTTAATTAATTACACCTTGTATATGTATACTCACTGCCTATATGTGTAGCCAAAGTATATGCAGCCAAGGAATACGACAAGAAGAATGATGAATGGCGTCGTAAAGAAGGGTACCAATGCAACAGTCAGCCGATTATCTTTCAAGGCAGCTCCAGTCACTTCCATATTCAAAACCTCTATATTCATATCTGCAAAAAAAAATTTGAATTAAAAAAATATTAGGATAACTAGTTTTTGAGAATCATCGATCTCTAACGACAGATATAATATAGATATATAAAATAAGATCAAAAGGATCAAAAAGAGAATATATTGAATTAGAAAAATATGAAGAGAAGATTAGAGATTACGAAATAGTTGAATTTTAAAAATAGTAGGGAAATTTTTATTCACTGATGTGTGCATTTCCAATTACAAAATGTCCCAGAATTGTAGAAAAAGAATTATAAAAGAATTATAAAACAACCCATTTTCAAAAGTGACCAATTTTTATTTATTTTTATGTAGAAATATAAATACTAATTATGGAATGTCTGAGACCAAAGATTCTAGGACACCAAAAATAATATATAAAATTACAAAAAAAAAAAAAAAATAGATAAATTCTTAATTATTTTCAAATATAGAATTATAAATATATGTGTACTGATTATGAAAAGTCACAGACCAAAGATCTAAGGACACCAAAATGAGTATACAAAATTATAAAAAAGGAAATAAATAATTAATTATTTTTTTAATTATTTCTTAATTATTTTCAAATATATAGACTAATCATGGAAAGTCATAGATTAAAAATCCTAGGAGACCAAAAAGAATATACAAAATTATAAAAAAAAAAAGAAAAATATGGTAGTAATAAAATATAAAATATGGAATTTACTGAGCAAGGAATGCTTCACATCTTGCGCCGCTTTCAGTACGTCGATTTCCGAGTACCCTCCCTTTGTCTTCAACAGAACCTCCACTGCCCCGTTCCAAGTACGTCTCACGTGCCAAGCCAACTTGCCTGCGTATTCCGTCAAAGCTACGTCCGTCGCGACGTCCACCATTAACATAGGAGCTTTATCCGTCAAAGACACCCGAGCACCGCAGTACTGACAGCAATGGCCTTCTACCTGCGTTTCACATTGTCCCACAGGGACCGATTTTAATCACCGTTTCTGTGGCTAACAAGGTTCTAAACGAACGTCTTTTCGTGACTTCCCGCGCAGAAAGATGGTTAAAATCGATCGTACTCACCGTAAGGGGATATTCACAGGGGGTGTACCCACACCTTGGTCTCTCAATGGCGCACACTTCCTCGAGATAATATCCGTCTGGGTCGATCTGACAGGCACACTTTTCGCAATGGTACTCGGCGTACCTGTGTAATTGCATTGTGTTTCTGAATTATGGAGAATCGAATTATCGAGGATCTCGAAGTCGATGAAAGAAAATTTCACGAATTGGAGAATCAGGTAATTAAAGTGTCTCAAATTTTCCGAACTTAGAAACGCGAAAACTGGAAAATTGGGAAATTAAAGAATTAGAAAATTCGAAGGTTTAAAAATCGAAGCTGTAGAAATTTAAATATTCGACAATTTAAAAATTCACAAATTCGAGAATTCGAGAATAAAAATTTAGATAATTTGAAGTTTTAGAAATTCAAATGAGAATTCGAGAATTCAAAAATTCGGACATTCGAGAATTCACGAATTCAAAAATGCAGACATTCGAGAATTCCAAAATTCGGAGATTCGAGAATTCGAATATTAAAGAATTCAGAGATTCGAGAATTCGAGTATTCAAAAATTCGGACATTTGGGTATTCGAGAATTCAAAAATTCAGATATTCGAGAATTCAAAAATTCAGACATTCGAAATAGATAAATTCTTAATTATTTTCAAATATAGAATTATAAATATATGTGTACTGATTATGAAAAGTCACAGACCAAAGATCTAAGGACACCAAAATGAGTATACAAAATTATAAAAAAGGAAATAAATAATTAATTATTTTTTTAATTATTTCTTAATTATTTTCAAATATATAGACTAATCATGGAAAGTCATAGATTAAAAATCCTAGGAGACCAAAAAGAATATACAAAATTATAAAAAAAAAAAGAAAAATATGGTAGTAATAAAATATAAAATATGGAATTTACTGAGCAAGGAATGCTTCACATCTTGCGCCGCTTTCAGTACGTCGATTTCCGAGTACCCTCCCTTTGTCTTCAACAGAACCTCCACTGCCCCGTTCCAAGTACGTCTCACGTGCCAAGCCAACTTGCCTGCGTATTCCGTCAAAGCTACGTCCGTCGCGACGTCCACCATTAACATAGGAGCTTTATCCGTCAAAGACACCCGAGCACCGCAGTACTGACAGCAATGGCCTTCTACCTGCGTTTCACATTGTCCCACAGGGACCGATTTTAATCACCGTTTCTGTGGCTAACAAGGTTCTAAACGAACGTCTTTTCGTGACTTCCCGCGCAGAAAGATGGTTAAAATCGATCGTACTCACCGTAAGGGGATATTCACAGGGGGTGTACCCACACCTTGGTCTCTCAATGGCGCACACTTCCTCGAGATAATATCCGTCTGGGTCGATCTGACAGGCACACTTTTCGCAATGGTACTCGGCGTACCTGTGTAATTGCATTGTGTTTCTGAATTATGGAGAATCGAATTATCGAGGATCTCGAAGTCGATGAAAGAAAATTTCACGAATTGGAGAATCAGGTAATTAAAGTGTCTCAAATTTTCCGAACTTAGAAACGCGAAAACTGGAAAATTGGGAAATTAAAGAATTAGAAAATTCGAAGGTTTAAAAATCGAAGCTGTAGAAATTTAAATATTCGACAATTTAAAAATTCACAAATTCGAGAATTCGAGAATAAAAATTTAGATAATTTGAAGTTTTAGAAATTCAAATGAGAATTCGAGAATTCAAAAATTCGGACATTCGAGAATTCACGAATTCAAAAATGCAGACATTCGAGAATTCCAAAATTCGGAGATTCGAGAATTCGAATATTAAAGAATTCAGAGATTCGAGAATTCGAGTATTCAAAAATTCGGACATTTGGGTATTCGAGAATTCAAAAATTCAGATATTCGAGAATTCAAAAATTCAGACATTCGAGCATTCGGGAATTCAAAAATTCAGATATTCGAGAATTCGAGAATTCAAAAATTCAGACATTTGAGAATTCGAGAATTCAAAAATTCTGACATTTGAGAATTCGGGAATTCAAAAATTCAAGCATTCCAGAATTCTAGAATTAGAAAATTAAAGCATAAAAAAAATGGGAAAATTCGGAATTTGAGTTCCAATTAAACATACATCACAGTGAATATTCCTTTCGCGAATTCCCTGCTATTTCTCAAGCGCATCCATTGCCCCTCGTTGAGCGGTTGCTTCTCGCCATTTAATCTAATCGACCACACTTCGATATTCTTCAGCGGCAAAAGAGTGCTAAACGTGCGATTCTTCGCTGGCAGCACGATGTTATCTTTAAGACAGGGTACCTGTTCGAGATGAGGCGCTGCTTCCGAGCTACCGTTCCAATTTTGAGGATCAGCCCAGAACAAGTTACCCGCCCTTAACCATTCGCTCGTCTTACGTGGTGTCTTAGGTTCACTTAACTAATCCAACAAAATAATCAAAATTAATTCAACCCGACTATAATACCCATGATAAAAATATCAAACAAAATTAAAAAATTCGAAATTCTCTTCTTTCAAATATTTCAAACTTTTTAATTTCGAATATTAAAAACGTCCATTTTAAAATACGAAGAAATATTGCAATTTTAAATATTACAAATTTTTCATTTCAAACGTGAAGAAAATGTCAGGGATATCTTTTTATCATTTTTCCAATGTTAACAATTTTTTAGTATCCTTTTTAATTATTATTAATTGCTTTCTCAGTTACCACGGAATTTTTAATATCTTCCAATTTCCACGAATTTTTCGGTAAAACTGACAGGAATAATGTTCGTATTTTCTTTCCAGATATTTTATCGTTCGTTGAGCTGAGTTTCAGGGACAGGCATGCAGGATTTACGTCCTGCTTCTTGATTCTGTTTCGCGGATTATTAGCCATCGGACTAGGGGGTTCGATACAATATTCGACTAATCGAACATTGCGTATATCGTCGTATATCACGAATTCCACTGACACGTTAATATTTCCGGTTCAGGAGAAATTAAGCATCGATTTTCTTTATATCGATTTTCTAATAAAACCGCAGTAAACGAGGGGGTTGTAAGAAACTACCCTTCGGTAAAAATATTTTAGTTTATTTTTAGTAATTTTTATTACTATATATTAATCAATTTTTATATTTTTTTAAAATTTTTAATAAAGCAAATAAATTCCTTAATTTATTAATTACTGTTAATTAACATCTTTAATGGACATCTTAACATCTTAGCATCATAGTGGACATTTTTAATGTAATTATTTTTAATATAATTTTTACGAGGGTACACATAAACATTTGTCTTTGATATAATTAAAACAATATCCATTCCTAAGAAACTATCCTTCGGTGAAAATATTTTATTTTATTTTTAGTAATTTTTATTACTATATATTAATCAATTTTTATATATTTACTTAATTTTTAATAAACCAAATAAATTCCTTAATTTATTAACTGTTGTTAATTAACGTCTTTAAAATAATTAATAATTTCAATATACAATTTAATACATGCTTTTAAATATCCCTCATAACGTGATTGTCAATTTTTATGAAAAATTCTGTAATTTCGCGAGATATTTATTTCGTCGTTGAAATGATCAGTCAAAATTAATTAAAATATTTAACGATTGTATCCGTCAAATGTCCACTTTGAATATACCTATATTAATTCCTCAGAATAATCCCAGAGATTTAAGAAATATAATTATTAAATGTCAATACCACTTGAATATTCCATCACGTTAATTCATTACTGCGTAACGTTAAATCGCCTAAGCCATCGATTTATGCGTGCAAGGTTATATCCAAACGAAGGTAATAAATCATTCGAAATCATCGGATCGGGAGGATGAGGGTTGATTATTTAATTATAAATTCACATGGAATTTTCGTACCTGCAATTTTCCATTTCGAGGTAATACCAAGGCACCAGACCTGGGCAGGTCGACCCCAGAGAGCCTCAGGTCACTCGCGCTACCTATTCCGACAGCGTGTCTCATGTCCAATGGAAACGTCACGAAACTGTCTAATTCCGGAATCCGTTTTCCAACCCAATTTTCAGGTGTTTCCCACTCCAGATTCGGAAGCCAATATTTATCGACACTGCACGACGATTTTATCGTTAACGCGAAGAATATCCATGGGGTCCAAAATCTTTTCACCACTGCACTCCTCATGACGTTATATCGCGGCTTTATGCAAATTAAAATTTCCTTATTTTTTATTGATTCCTATTTTTTTAAATTTTTCTTCAATTTTTCTACAATTGCCCGGCGTTAGAGTGAAACAAAAATTTAAAAACTTTCTTTTATTAATAAAGGGAGGTTTCAAAGGAGAAATTTGGATTTTGAAAGGAGTGTGATTTTGGTGGGAAATTATTTAATTTGAGAAATTTTTGTTACGAAATTTGGAATATTATAAATAATAACATGTACGATTTTAATTGGAAATAATTTAATTTCGAAAATTTCTATTGGAAAATTTGGAATTTGCTAAATAATGGAAGGTACGCCTTTAATTAGAAATAATTTAATTTCGAAAATATCTATCGAGAAATTTGTAATTTTCTAAATATTGGAAGCTACGCCTTTAATTGAAAATAATTTAATTCCGAAAATATCTACCGGGAAATTTGTAATTTTCTAAATAATAAGAACCAAGATTTCAAAAGAAGATAACTTAATGTCAAAGCTGAAAATTGAGAAAATAATATAATTTCTAAGACCTCGATCGGAAATATAATTTAATTTCGAAGATTTCGATGTGACAAACGCAAAGTATGATTCCACTCGAAATTAATTGAATCCCTTCGGGATATTTGAGATTTTATGAACAATAGGAAGTAGGATCCCGAACGGAAGCAAGAGAATATGAACACAAAGGAACAGAAACGAACGGTTGTCGTGCTAAACGGTCGGAAACTGAAGCGAATAATCGGGATCGATAGGGGGCGTGCCAGATTTACGGCGTGCTGCCTCTGACTCCGATTATTTATCTGTGTCTCATCGATTTTTCCGACTAATAACGACGTAAAAATTCATTCAAGAACTTACTTCCATATTTCCACGCAGCGAAATTTTTATCACAGTAGACATTTTTAATATAATTATTTTTAACATAATTCTCTCAAGGGTACGCATAAACACGTGTCTTTGCTATAATTAAAACAATATCCATTCGTAAGAAATCAAAAAATTATATATGTTCATCTGCTATATATTTTAACATAATTTCTCTAAATCCTTCTAGATTTTTAATACAACCATGTCAATTTAGATTTTCTACCAAATATGTCTTCATCGGAAAATTATTTTTCACTTCGAAAATCTACTGAAATTCTAATTTTTGGTAGTTCGCCAATTTTTGAATTGCTTCTCCTTGCCATCTAGGTAATTTAGGATTTCGGAAACATCTCCACGAGTTCGTTCGTTTTCCAAGAACATTTATTCGATAAACACTTGAACAAAATTTGAAACGAGATTCGTCTAGCATTCATTCCGTAGAAATAACACAGTGACTGACACTATTACTTATTCGAGTAACAATCTTACGTAATACAACCACATTGGATTTTTGGAATATATTCAGCAAAATTAATAGTTCGACGATCTTTTAATAATTTCGAATAATTCCATAACGATATCGTTATCATAGCCTTGCTCGAATTAATAATTACGAACAGACGCTGTTGAAAGGACACAGAGCTGGGTAAATGTAATTCGACATCGAAACGAGAAGTCTCAGTCTTTCCTTTTCTTCCAGTCACTTCAAACACGAATGGAACATCGATTTAGTCGTATTAACGCTAATATTCGATCTATCGGAGACCCGTAAGCAGATCTAGAAGATCGCTAGTTATTTACAAATTGCCTACACAAGCGGCGGATTATAGAAATAAAATAAGAAAACACACGACACGATTGCGAGTCTGAAAATGCTTTATTGAAAAGTCGTGACAATAAGATCGGGTTCATCGAACGAGGTCGTGAAAGGCAATCGATGCAATTTGGCTAGAAATCGCTGGCGAAATAGTTCAAGGAATATTTATTAAGACACGTGAATAGATTTAATAAAACATTCCCAAATCCACATTTTTAGACGTTTTCTTTCAGGATCTCGCAGAATATTGCTTGGAAAGTTCGTAGTATTTTTCAGAAATAATACTAATAATAATAGCACTGACTATTAGCTTATAGTAAAAGAAAATTATTTTAATTGGTTATTATTATACAATAAATTAAGGAAAATAAAATTTGGAGATTTTAAATAGGAGGGGTTTTATCTGAATTTTCTCTGAGGAGAGACACAGCATTGTGACGTTATCTCTTAGTTCAAACATCACAAAACTTCTCTCAACTTGTTTCCATTTCACAAATCGCATACAGGAATACTGTTGGAAGCTTACGAAAAATATTCGAAGAGATTCGTAAACTTTACGAAACAAATTTGAACGAATAATTCCAAAAAACGAAGCACCTGGCTTCTAAATTTTCTCGAGGTTCCCACTACGAACCTTCCAATCGACCCAAAACACTCCCAAATTCCTCGTCTCGCTTAGAAAACCCTTAGTACGATCCTCGATTAACCATCAGCCCATGTGAAACATCGCCAAACGTGATCAAACGTCGTCAAACACGATCAAACGTTGTCAAACGCGATCAAACGTCGTCAAACACGATCAAACGTCGTGAAACGTGATCAAACGTCGCCAAACACGATCAAACGTCGTCAAACACGATCAAACGTCGTCAAACAACGACCGACCAGCTCTGGGAGTCCTCAAACCGCCATTTCCCTGCCCACCCAGCTCTGCGTTCGCTCGCTGTCCCTGTCAAGGCCAGAACCAACCGTGCCAAACACCCCTGGACGATCTCAAACGCTCTCAAACATCCCAGATTTCCAATTCCACTCCTCCACCGATTAGCCTCCACGCGAGTAGCAAGAACGCAGGGAACCGAATCGAGAACGAAACGAAAAGAGACGAAGAACTCGTTGAAGAGACGTTGAAACTTCAAAACGTGTCTTTATTGTTGCGTTATCGATATACTTCGTTTGACAATAAAACTCTGCGACATCGAATTAGAGCTACATTGCCGTGAAGCCGGCGACGCGGTCAGTGGCTGGTCGTCGTGCGAGGTTCAGGCCTTATTGCAACGAGTCTTCCTCGTCCTCGGGCATCCTCTTGCCGAGGCCAAAGTGGTATCTCTGGGTGAGAAGGTTGGGCATCTTGGGGGATCCCACCGGCTGTCCGGCGTTGAAGTGCACCGCCCTCTTGCCCAGGCCGAAGCTGTAGGGCTGTCGGCCACGTTTCTCCTCGTGGAAGTCGTCCATGGTCTCTTGAGAGTGGGAGGCCAAGCTGTCCGGGAAGTAGTCCAGGCTCAGTCTGGCTGGGTAGTCCAAGTTGTCCCGTTTGCCCAGCCCGAAGCTGTACTGCCTTGTCCTCTTGCCAAGGCCGAACGAGTACTCGCGTCCTCTCTGCAATCAAGCGACCAGATATTTCTTGAGATGAACAGAATTGCTTCTGGGTTTGGGTATCGTGGGTGTTGGACGCTGGAATTAGACGAAGCCATCGCAGTGCTCCTTTTACACGTGCACACCAGCTCGAGTGAGAGTTAAGTTTAACTAGCGGTCTGCAGGTTTGAGTGGGTTTTCGGTGATTCGAGTAGGTCTGGTTTGTGGATTGTGTTTTGGTGGAGGAAAGGAGTCAGGTATTGTCAGTTTTTGTGTATTGAGGATCGAGTTGGGCAAGATTGAAAGCTGTGCTTTGGAAGTTTTAGTGGTTTTAAAGCAGTATTTTTAAGGTTAGGATATTTTTGTAAAGAAATTTACAAAGGAGAATTTTTGAGGTTAGGGTGATACTTTATATGTTGATACAGGAGAGAAGATTAAATGAAGTTCTTTGAAAGCTTTGGTAGTTTAAGGAAGAATTTTTCAGGTTAGAATAAGTTAAATGAAGTTCTTCGAAAGCTTCAATAAGTTCAAAGAAGAATTTTTGAGGTTAGGGTAATGTTGAACATCGGTAATATAATTCTCTGAAAGAAATGGACGATGTGGATCAAATATGTTAATAATTTTATGCTTGCAAAGAATCTTTGAGGTTAGGATACTCTTAACTATAAATAGTTTCAAACGAATACTATATTTCTTATATATTTTTAACATGAACCTCGAAATCTATTTTTTTATTGCTAAAAATTAAATCGAATCGTTTCAAGATCCTAATATTTCCATTAAAGAGTATTTTTGCACAATTTTCAAGTTGGACACCTTTTCGATACGAAAAATTTCAATATGGACTCCTGTTTCGTTCACGGACTCACCTTATTGTCGCTAGTGTCGATCCAACGCTTTCCAATACCGAAATTGTAGACAGGTAGCCTTTTATACTCAGACACATAGGTGTACGCTCTCTTTTCAGGCACAGGTTCGTCAAATCCCATGGAATTTAACATCGAGTTGTAATTCATGGGAGAAGCTGGTGTTTCCTCGATTGCCAGGACTGATTTCCCGACAATTCCAACCAAGTAGAGAAAAGCCACGCACGATGTAAGCACACCTGTTCTAGTCCTCATTGTGACCTCTGTGTTTGCTTTATCTGCAAAGAAGAATTCAATAATGCAATTTATTTGATCAACTTTCATACACCTAACTCGTTTTAGAATCAATTCCAATTGAAATTCACTAAATTACATTAAATACAATTAAACCCTTTATCGAAATATTTTAAAAATATTTATAAATTATTACATTTCTGCAAAATCATGTAAATTTAAATAATGGGAAGAAAAATAGCGAATTATTTAATTACAATTCCAGTAAAAATATTAATTAATTAATTTATTTAAATATAATATCTTAGTATAATAACTTAACTGGGATTAATATTTTTCATTAATTTATTTATTATAAAATTAATGAAATAATAATATTTATTATGAAATTAGTTCTCTCTTTTTGTCTCGACAATAATTAACTATAATGTATAATAAAAAAAAATGATATTTCCTCGAAATATACAGGGTGGTCCAAAATTAGTGATAGAATTTTAATCAAAAAGATTATGTGACTCAAAATAATACGAAAAATTGTACAAACTCTCCTATATTCTTCCAAAAACGTAGGAAGCTTTTAATATTACATTTTCTCTGAAAAATTTATTCTTCCTAAATCAAATCTCGACTCGAACCTTGAAACACGCGGAAATCTTTCTCAAACCCGATTCAACGTAGAGCTGTGATTGATACCTCGAGAGGATACAAACTGTTAACACAATTTCCCACGTCCATCATCCCTCTGCTTCTTTCCTGCAGAAAGAACACGCGCAGAGAGATCCAAGCGATCACCATTTACGACCGCGATTCGCCGGAAGAAAGCCACGCTTCCGGGATCCTTACGAACGATCGTAAATCCCGCAAATTAAACCGGATGAGTCCTGGAAGCGTGTATCCCAGTTTCCTCATCCTGACCTCGTCAGCTCAGAATTGCCACTTTAAATTGAGGCCGATTTAATTTCCACCGGCATCTAGCAGAATGAAACGTCTTGGCGAACGTTGTTACTGGAATTTTCACTGAAGTCCCTAGGGACTCGATCTTGGAATGATTAAATCAAAGTTCCTAGATCCAAGTTCCTAGATCCCTATCGATCGTGAAATTTCTTTCGATTTTAGATCGAAATATCGATCTAAAGTTCGCGTATATCGTAAATATTCGTAGATCAAAGTGAGTCATCAGACGATAACTATACTGCAACGATAAATATAATAGAGAAATACCCATTGAATATCGGATATATTGTAATATAAATTAAAATATTTAAAGAAATTGTTATAATATTATAGTATTAAATTATTAAAATAATTATTAATTATTAATTATTAAATATTGAATTTTTGATTTTATATTATACATATTGATTTTATAAACTCTTTATGCTCGTGTTATGTTATGTTATGGTGTCCAATCTGTGGACAATTTTATATATAAAGTGTCCAATAAAAATGTATAAAATAGTGTCAAATTAATTTTATGTCACTGTGTTTATAATAATAAAAAAAAAATAGTGGTATATTAGTCAAGATTAAATTACTTAATTATCTTAATTATGGTAATCAGCTATCGTTAATGTTGGGTGTACTTTGTGTGGCTCAAAAGAATTCATCTTCTTCCAATATGGTTCAGGGTAACTAAAAAGTTAGACACCCCTGTGTTATATCACTTTAAAGCTAAAAGCTTAATTTTGAATAATTTTGTATTATGGTGTTTGACCAAAAATATTATTCCAAAAGTTAATTTTTAATAATTTTGTATTATGGTGTTTGACCAGAAATATTTTTCCAAAAGTTAATTTTTAATAATTTTGTATTATGGTATTTCACCAAAAATATTTTTCCAAGGGTAGTATATCTTTCATACTACCCCTTGTACTGTCAAAATATCTCCCAGATCAATCTGTCATGTGAAATAAATGAAAATTTCGAGTACTCGAATGTGATTTCAAAATTGGAAACACGTTGGACTATGCTTGTCGAGATTTTTGAAAATTTTGGTTAAATTGGTGCATTTTGGAAATAGGAAAATTTGAAGGAATCTTACTTCTAGGAATTTTAAGTAAAATTTTTTGAAAGTGAGAAGTTTGAGGATGATAATGAAAAGTGGAGAACCTTTTATGAGTGAAATTATGGCAGTTAGAACTCCGAGGATAAATCTTGTCTTGAAAATTTCCTTGAGAAAAATTTCTTAGTTTCAAGGAAAAGATTAAAGAATTAATCACGTAAATAATTTGTTGGAGAATCTCTTGCTAGTTGACAGGAAATTGCGGAATAAGCTTCGAAAATTATTGCAACTTAAAAAGAAATTAGATGATAAATCTTAACAAGTAGAAAGGAAATTTTCCTCTTATTAATATCCGCGATTTCGTGGAAAATTTTACAATGAACCTCGCAGGATATCAAATTGGAGAAAAATTAATTTAAAGGAAATCCCACGAAATGAAGAATTCGTATCTATAATTACTCTAATTTTAAAGGAAGCTTTTAAAGAAAGCTTTCAAAGGAAGCTTAATTTTAAAGAAGCTTGAGGAATCAAATTTTATCACAGCATGTTTAAACAAAATTTAAGAATACTATAAAAATAAATTTCGTAAAATACAAAAGCTTCTGCAACTATAATAAAACTATTCTAATTCGAAAGAAAGAACGAGACGACATTTTTTAATTTAATAAACAAAAATATTCTCGTTTAAATTATTAAATAAAAATTATTAAATGAAATTGAATAAAGATACTTTTAAAACGTTCTACAAAATTCTGAAGCTAAAACCTTGGAACTCTGATACCGCTTTGACGTCGCAAACTGCCACGTATTTACTAATAAACCACGATAACCAAGGAACCCCATAAAATCTGCGATCGCAACAGGTGCCTTGGAGCAGTCAACGGGTGAATTTAGTTTTTAATTACACGGACGATCGTGTTTTTATTGCATGAGCAATATCAATTCGCTGGAACCTCCTTCCGCCGGGTTAATTCGTTCGAGTAAATCTAACTTTGCGATCTCCGTTGGATGAAGACCCATTGAGAGGAAAAAGTGAGGGAGGGAGGAAAAAGTGGAAGAAATTTGCATAAAATTGCAAATCCCTTTGAATAATCGTTCTCCCTTTTCATCGAAGTTTTCCTATGGCTTTCCGACAGGGGTGTTGCGAGCTTGAGGTCACTGGACTGAGAGGAAGTGGTTAAAGGGAGGCTGTGAAAGGGGGACAGTGGAAAGATCGAAGGGGTAGGTTGAGATGCAACTTATCTGATTCGTTCGCGGACATCAATCACGTGTCACGTATCGTGGTGAGTATCGATTACTCGCTTGCTTTGAATCTCGCTGTTCCACGTGCTCACTGCGTGCATCGGGGGTGTCCTGTTTTCGGTGTACTCGAATTTTTGTAAATTTTTCTGTGGCAGATGGAGTGGAACTTTTGGAAGTTCGTGTACTGAGTTGTGGTAATAATTAATTGAACTAAAAGGTAAATAAAATAAAATAAGGGTAATAAAAGATAGGGTAAAGTAATAAATAAAGTAATAAATTAATAAGTAATATAGAGTAATAAATAATAAAGGAATAAATAATTGAAGAAAATAAGAGAATAATATAAAACAAAATAGGATAATAAATTTTTGAAGAAAGTAAGGAAGTAGTAAAGAATAAAATAAAGTAACATATAATTGCAGAAAATAATACAGTAGTATGAAATAAAATGGGGTAATAAATAATTGAAGAAAGCAATAGAGTAACAAATAATTCAAGACAATGATATAATAGTAAATGATAAAATAGTGTAATAAATAATTAAAGGAGTTAATACAGTAGTAAAGAATAAAATAGGGTAATAAATAATTCCAGAAAGTAATACAGTGATATAAAATAAAATAGCGTAATAAATAATTGAAGAAAGAAATAGAATAATCATTAATTGGAGAAAGTAATACAGTGATATAAAATAAAATAGTGTAATAAATAATTACAGAAAATAATACAGAAATATAAAATAAAATAGGGTAATAAATAATGGAAGGAAAGAATAGAGTGATGAAGAATAAAATAAAATAAATTTCGAAGATTTTTAAATAAAATAAAATAAAATAAAAAAGACAAGAGTTCAAAGTTTTTAATAAACTGCCGTATTAAAGTAAGCTAGGAAGTCTTCAACATGGATAATTAATTACCATCGCGTTTAACGTTGCTTAATTACTCTTCAAGACCGGCTTCCCCTGTAAAGTGGCACTGATAATCTTCGTTGAAAAATAATTTCCTTCTTCATCATGGAAGTTCTTTAATCCCTGAGAGAAAACTCTTAAAGGACTTTCGAAAGTCTTGCTTACTCCCCAGTTTTAAGTTCATGAGCTGGGACATCGAGAGAACCTTGTGCTTGAGCGTTAAGTGGAAATCTCCGAAATGATGCGAACGCGATTTTACCTTCATTTTCTTATCCTTGCAAGTCAACATCTTCTCGCCATATTTTGCATTCTAATTCTTTTTTTAATTTTAATCCAACGTTCAACAAATTCTGCATCTATTTTATTCGTTACTTTTCACTATTTTATTAGGAAATAATTTTTCATTGTCACTTTAGAAAATTATTCTTCGGGATTCTATCATTGGAAAATTATTTTGTAATAAATCATTGTCTCATTGAAACATTATTCTATAAATTTTTCTCGTTGATTAGAGAATTATTATTAAAAAATTATAAACCTTTGTAGAACATTCTTAGCTATATTTTCGATATTTTTCAAAAGCATTTTCGATACTACCAATAATTATTTTAATTATCGTTGTATCTGTATTACTAACTTGATACTCATCTCAAATTTCAATCACGAATTTCATATTCATTTACAATTATACATTCGTCTCTTTTTTCTTCCTTTTTTGGTTTCATACGAGTACAAAATTCTAGGAAATAAATCTTCTAATTCCTCTAACAGGATTAGATTAGATTAACTCCCACGTACGGTACCAACATAATAATCCTAACACTTACGAACATACACATACGTATCTAGCAAAATCCTGTATCAGAATAAATTCTAAACTACTCGCTAATTG